TGTTTATTTTTTATATGTAATTATTAATTATTTCTATGTATTTTACTTTGTTTAGTTATTTATTAACTGGTTTATTTCTAATAGGTCATGAGTTTACCATTTTCTTTTAAGTTTTTAAAGCTTTTATGGTCATGTGTGTTGGCTTGAGAAAAGACATTTCTTTTAAGAAAGGATATATTTGAAAAAAACCAGGGTGGAAGTTCATATTTTGGCAAGAAACAATAATTGCACTTTCAAGAATATTTTTGTCTAAGTTATTTTTTTCCTTTAATAAATACAGCATTTTTTAGATCAAAGTTATTATTGAATGCAGTAATATGATGTAATCGAAATCATGTGACAAATAGGTTTCTTACTGTAGATGTTAGCAACCTCAGTATATGTTTTTTTTTTTTTTTTTTACTTTTCTTGTTAAGCCAAGAACTTTCCCTTATTCACTTGAATGAAGCACTTTATGACTTCTCTAAATTGCCAGCACCACAACTCTTGCATTCTTGGACCATTCTTAAGCAAAACTGATTATTTATTTCTTGGGTCGATTGTGGGTAACTCCAGATAAAGGGAGACTAATGCATTTAATTTTCTTTTGTCCAGTAAGTATGTTATGGATACATACATTCAAAATAAGGCTTTTATCTTTTATGCTTTAAAAGCTGAAATACATATGCTTTCACAAGAAATGCAATGTTTTTTAAAATATATTTTGCTGAAATCAGGATAATGTACAAAGTTTGGTTGAGATCATTCCTGTGATATTGGGAAAGAAGCACAAACACAAATTCATTATGAAGTTTGATATAAAAGGAATCATGCAGATTTCAATATATTCACTTGTTTCCAATACACAGTAAAAGAATAAAAAGAAAGGCTTAAGAAAGAAACAGTTGCAGAGTTGAGTTTGCTGCATAGTACCTTGATAATATTCCAAAGAGAGATGTATGAAAGGTTTTTAGACTTAAGAATTGTATCTTTGCATTAGGCTGGAAATAGGCTGGAAACCCAAACCAAAACATAATTGAAAGTTTGAGGAACAGAGCCAGGGAGAGAAGTAAGCTGACAGAAGAGATATTTGGCTGACAACAGAATATTTTTAAAAGGCACAAGCAGAAAAATATAAAGAGCTTCAAAATGAAATAAAGTTTTTAAATTTTTAAATCTTACTTAACAAGATCCTTGCACAATTTTACTGACATGTTTAAAAAGACAAAACATTACACATTCTTTATGTTTTAAAATAGTTGAATTACAAGAACTATTATTTTCATTAGGATATCGCAAACTACCACTTTTGTCATGCCGAGGGCCAAGGTGTATAAATTCCTTCTTTGGCTTTTGGTTGGTGTATGATCAGTAAGAATGAAAACCTTATTTATTTACAAAGTTTTTTCAGACATCAAGAACATGGAGGAATTTGAAATGCAAACAGATTATTTTGAATACAGTAATATTAAATCCACAAAATACTATGGTTATTTAATAATAACAAAAAAAAAATAGGCTACCTAGGGCAATGGTGCTTTAATATCTTCAAAGTACTTAAGAATGAACCACTTTTCAAAACAATTTGCAAAGAAACCTTTTGGCATTGCTATCCACTGTCTTGTTACATTCTCCTTGATCTCATCCACAGCCTGAAATCTCCTCTTTCCAAAGTGAATTTTAGCATTGGAATTCACATGCAGCTAAATCTGGCCTGTAATGAAGGTGAACAGACATAAGTAACATTTTGTCAAAAAGCCCTGCCTGAGATTTGGAGAATGCAAAGATATTCTATTTGGCAGCATGCTTTCTAGAGAGAAGGTTTGGGGATTCCACAGGCCAATTTGTGCACTGTCAATTGCCAATTTCCTCTGATTGCTGTCCACACATATTCAACATTCTCCAGTGGTCAACTTATTCCAGAATGTGGATTGCTTACAAGAGATAATAAGTTTGGTTGGAAACTTTTATAGCAAAATTTTATTTGGACTTCATTCACTGAATCATTTCCCAAAAGTGTTCTTCATGTGAATAGTTTTTGTGAACAAATGTTCTAGTTTCATTTAAAACTTGATGTATATTCCCTGTGAAGATTATGATGCTTACAAAATATGCAATCTCACTGGCATCAACTGAGTAAGCCACATGTGAAAGTGTGTGTTTGGTTGTCAAATTGTAGCAAGGATGGACAACTAGTTCTTAAGATATTCAAAATATGGAATCATTGGTACAGAACACATTTAAACTTCTGCAAGCATATTGAGTGAGAAGAGTTGATTATTCTTATAAATTACATGTCGTCTGATGTATACAAACTGTTCAGCGAATGTACAGACTTTGAAGAAATTATTAACATTCTAAAGAAAGCTTTCATACTGTGATAGTAGATTTAGGAAGTAGTCATAGTTTTATTGACACCAAGATAGCTCAGTCTATTGGACGTTAGACCTACTAACTCTACCGTCAGAATGGCTTGTTAATGAAAACTGGAGGAAAATGTAAAGCAAATCTTTTGGTGGGTATGGAAACTTACAAAAATTTGTGTACTGAGTAATTTCTTGACAGCCTTCAAAAGTTGAATTTGTTTTATTTAATCATATAATATGATCTCCCAGGTGGAGTATATGGCCACAGCCTTACTGTTCAATGCAAGTTTTATGAGGAGGAATTGTTTGCTGCATGTCCAACTGGTTTTGAATTCAGAATAACCTTATCTTTGGGTTAAATCTATTTAACTAAAAATTACAAATGTTAACAATGATGATTATAGAATAAGATGAAAATAACTCTGAAAAACATGCCTTCATTAACAAAAATGAGGAAATGTAGTTTTGTGAATATTTAAAGGTTTAAACTAAACCAGATAAGGGTAGTCTAGAGGCCAAAACTCTTGATAATTTGGGTTCTATCAGCACTATTGCATGTGAAGACTGATTCCTCATGGGGTAGGCATTGGAGATGTACAGATCCAACAGCTGTGAAAATACTGTCAAAAATACTGTGGAGTGCACCAGAGCATATATATGACGTAAAATTCCTGGTCATCTACTGTAGGTCTTCAGTTTTCATCGATTCCTCAAAGACTCACCCAGATAAGTGAGTGGGATTACTGCAGTGCAATTGATTTTCCCCCTGTTAAAAATTCTTCCCGTACAGGATCTACTGATAAAGTTTTCTTCAGGTACAACGGAAAACCATGATGAAAGGTTTATATAAATCATCTTCAGAATAATTTGAAACAAAAATATTGGTCAACAACATCTTTTACAATTATATTCTGTCTGAATTTCTAGAAGTTGTCATTATTTACATTATGCAGGGTTCGATGGATAAATTGTCATCTGAATAACACCGACATCTCATTTTAACATATATTTACCAAAATTACACAAATATATCTAAAATACTATATAGTAAATTTATTCAATAAAATCACTATTGGCTTCAACCATGGCCTCCAGACAATTTTGGAATCTCCTGCATCTCTTCTGGATGGTCTCCTTGGTTGAGCTGGTGAATGCTGCCATAATCCTTGTCTTCAGGGCTACAAAGAGTTTTGTTGGTCTGTCACACGACTGCACCCCACCCATTATAATCAAGGGTGTTATGGTCTGAGGAGTTAGGTGACCAGATGTAAGGGGTGATGTGGTTGCAGAAATTGTCTGACAAGTCATGACTGGGTTCTCTAGCTTGTGTGACATGGCGTAGACTCCTGTTGCCAGACATAGGGTCTTCTAGTAGCAACCCTCTTGAGCCAGTGCAGCACTACCTCTTCAAGGCACTTGATGTAGGCCTCTGTGTTGAGTTTGAGGCCTTCAACAACAATTTTGGGAGTTCTTTTCTGATCAGAATGAGCTGCCATACCTTCCTAATCCCCATTAGACTCGTCCAACTCTTTCAGAATCATCTGCACTATCCTCAGATTGAAACCCAAACACTCTGAAATGATTGCATTGGAGCTTCCAACATGAATGCCAAGCATTACTGCATGCAGTTCTCAAATTTCTGGCAGAGTGAATTGTGTCAGTGTGCTCTTTTTCTCATAGAATATGCTCAACTGACCTTACTATACTGTACAGTTGATAAAATCAAAAACAATGCAAAATTAAAAATATAAAATGGCAACAATTTACTCATCACACCCTGTATATATATATATCAGTGTGTGCATGTATGCCTGAATGCTGATGTGCCTGCTATACTCCTTTGAGATATAGGTTGTGTACTGAAGACACTTAGATCTTCTTGGGAGATTCCACCAATGCTATTTAAAAGTGATTGTTGGTTTCCATTGGACATGGATCCTTGAAAGGGCTAATGTAGTCAGTGTCAAAGTGCATATTCATTTCTGTAGGCCATTATTTGCCTTGAAGAAAGCAGAACACTAAAGAAAATGCCCTGAAACACTTTACTCCAGTTTAAACCAAGAAAGTGCTTCAAGGACTGTATAAAAAAAAATCCCTTACAGCCTGCCATAAAGTGTTGCTTGTGATTGAAATAAGTGGAAGCTAGCAATTCATGAAAGAACTAAGTAACCCTCTTCCTTGAGTGGCCCTTCTGCCTTGCATAGGGTGAACATTAAAAAAAAATGACTTCATCTGTGTTGTTATTAATCACACTTCAGCTGAAGAAAGCCAGTGGCTATGATGTAATAATAACAACAAAGATAAGGATATTAAAATTATATTCAACCTTGAAGTCTGAAACATTATCTGAGGAACTGGATTTTGACAGAGTAATAGATTGCTTGTTTGCTAAAATGCTTATTCTGGAATGCAAGAAAGAAGAAATGATCCCACAATGGATAAGTTTTTTGAATAATCAGTTTGAAGAAAAAAATAAAATCACCATATATATATATATATATATATATCCCTCAGATACTGTTTAATCAGCCATCAGCTAAGATGGCTGGGTGAAAGAAAAAGAAATACCTGCAAAAGGTAAAGAGTGAGTGAGAAAGAAAAGAGAGACAGAGAGAGGATGCCTACAAACAAAAATAAATTTGATCTTCTACATACCAACCGTGTGGAGAATATTTCTGGGGGTGCTATAAAAGATAAAATAGGAAATGTAAAATTATGTTTTTATTATTCAGAAATAAAACTTCAAAAGAAAATAAAAAGCTCCTTAGCCATGAACGTAAAGATCCTTTAAAATAAATTTGAAGATTTTAATTGGAAAAAATAAAATTAAAACTTTACAGCCATATTTTTTCTTACTTCCGTATCCAACTGTAGAGAAATGTTCACGATGCAAACCTTTCACAGCAAGTTTGATTCTTACCCAGTGTCCAACAAAATTAACCTTCTGCCACATATGACTTTATCTAAAAAATATCTCCATTTTTGTTCATTTTCTTCAGTATTTTCTCCACCCAGCAACCTTTCATTTTTCTTCTCTTCACTTTCTATTTAGTTTTCATTCAATGTGATTTGTATATAACAAAATGTTTCTCCAAATATTGCTTCTCTGCCTACCGACTTTTCTATGATTTCAGTTTTGTCTTTTCTAGAGAAAATTTCCTTTTTTCTAAATTATATTCTTCTTTTACAGCAAATATTCATTCAGTTTTTTCATTCCTCTGACAATTTTTCTTAATGAAGAAAAGTAGGAATTTACATCATGCTTCAGTTTCTAAGGACATTAATCTAAATGTAAATAACTTTACACTGATTTTATTTTATTTAGAATCTTTCATTTTTTCATGAATGTTCTTTATTTAATATAATTTTTATTTCTTTATTCAGAGATTAAATGTCATATCTTTGCTGCCTTCATTTTTATTTTTTATTTTTTTTATTCAGTTAAAAAAATGCTAAAATGTCTTTTTTTTTTTTAACAATTTCTCTTTCACCCTCATTTTTTTTTTAAATTGATTTTTATAATTTTTCTCAATAGATTCAATTTGTATTATTATTTCATCTTTTTGCCTTCATTTTTTTTATTTCATTTATATTATTATTAATAATAGTCACAGCAGTTAATGTAATAAAAATCAACATAATTAAATTGGACAAGAAGAAAACTTTGACTACAGTAGTTGACAGTAGGAAAAAAAAATCCTATAGAATGAAACTAACTGGTTACTGTCCCTCTCTCATCAGAAGTTGATCAAAGAAATTAAAATATTAAAAATGTGCATCATCTTTCCATGAGGATTTTTTTCTCAGTTTCAAACAGATCACATTCTGACTTACTTAAAAGTTCTTGAGACAATTTATATTAAATCAAGACAATCATCGTTATGCAAACAAAAAGATTGGCTGTTAGGACTTAGTATAGTCTGTTTATAGATATACCCATCTCAATATACAGAGTGTTGCAAAAGTAATGCTTTTTTTATTTATTAATTTTTATTGGACAGAAATAAATTACAGTTGTTTAAGAAAATTTATAAAAGTATTGTCACATCAAAACAACATGATTTGTTTTGATTGACAAACTAATTAACATGTACAAAATGCTCCCTTTCATGTTCAATACAATACCGAATCTGATTAGCAACACTTTTACAAACCATTCAACACATTTCTATATTAATTTCAGAAAGATTACCAGAAATTGCTTCTTTTAATTCAGTAACCATTTTTAGGTTGAGCCTATAAACAATATTTTTCAGTCAACCCCACAAGGAAAAAGCCTGATGGTGTTAGATCTTGTGATTGTGATGGCCACCCAATTGCTCCACGTAATCCTATCGTAGAAAAAAACAAGTGTGTTTCTTTTACTGCACACTGTATTATTGATATGTATTTTCTTTTCTCATATTTTTCTTTTATTTTTTAGTCAGTGTGCACAATGTTTTAATTTCCTTGTTTTTTCTGACAAGTGACATTGTGATAATGGGCTAGTTCATTTTATAGGATTTTTCTTTTCATATTGCTAATGACTATAGCTGAGGTTAGCCTCTTGTCTCTCTTAATTATGTTTGTTTTTTTTTTCATTAATCAAATTTTGTAACTCTAATAAAATCTTAAATCATAAGAGACTTCAGATATTTTACAGTAAGCAGTCATTATTAATTTTTGACTAATTTTTCATCTTATTTCATCTCAGTAAATCTTATTAAAAAGTAAAGATTATTAAATTTTCTACAAAACAGAATCATCATATAGTGGAGAAGAAAAGATGATAGCGATATCATTAATTTGCAAGATATCTGCTGGTTGGGTTTTTGTAGTCTAATTGATACAGTGATGTCATGGTAAGATAGCTTCCTAAAGATAAGGGAAATAAAATAAAATTCCACCAGAAACAGTTTATTTCTGTTTTTTGCTTCTTAGTTTATCAATAAAATGAAACAAAAACTACTGAAAAATAAATTAACTATTCATTTAACTTTTAAGAAAAAAGAAAGTAAAATTTACTTCATGTTTTATGTAACTTTTTCTCTTATTTACTCTTTTATTTATATTCCAACTATTGTCCTCATTTGTTGTTGTTATCACAATGTTTCAACCATTGTGACTTCTAGCTTTCATCAGGTATATATTGATCTGGATAACCTGCAATGAATTCAGAACTGAACCTTTTATTCAATCTATGAGGGTAGACTGTTTTCATTCCACTTGCCTATGTCTAGAGATATTGTCTACTTCTTAATTATAGGACCACTCAGTTATTGCTTATTGTCCCAGGGATTGAACTCACAACCTCTATGTCACCAAATTTATGAACCAACATTTTAATCTACTAGGCCTTTGTCCTGTAGGGAAACGGGAGAAATAACTGAGCATTACTAAAAATAAGAACTAAACGAGATATCCCTAGACATGGGAAGTGGAATGAGAACAGTCTACCCTTGTAGATTAAATAAAGGGTTCAGCTAAAAATTCCCTGTAGGTTACCCAGATTGATATACACCTGAAGAAATGTAGTGGGCACAATGGCTAAAAGGCTGTGATAAATAAGCTGCCACTATGGTCTACATGAAAGGTGAAAATGGGGAGAGCTGCTAACTGTGCTGACTCTTGTGGCCTTACCTAGGATTGAATTCACCATACTTGGCTAAAAAATTTCTGAAGATATTTATCATCATCATCTTTTGACCTCCTTATGGTTGGTCGGAACTCCACTGACAATCCCTTTCCACACTGTTTGGGTCTGTATTGTTGTCCCCAGCTACCCAATGTCCAACCCTGAGTCCCAAAGTATGGTGTCTGGAAAAGTCAATTTTCATGAAAAGACACTTCCAGAAAGATGTCATAGGAGTAAAGATGAGACAATTTCCCTGTTTGCTCAATAGCAGTGGCAGTTTTCCTGAAGATATTAGCTTAACGGATGTGTTCTAAGCAGTGGCAGTAGCAGGCTTGTCTCCCTTCCTGCCAAAGTGGATTTAAAGATGAGGACAATCGTTCAAATGTAAATAGTGTAAATAATGATAACTCTTCATCCCAGAAATTCAGTGATAACAACAACAAAGATGAGGACAATAGTCCAAATGTAAATAGTGTAAATAATGATAACTCCTCATCCCAGAAATTCAGTGACAACAACAACAAAGATGAGGACAATAGTCCAAATGTAAATAGTGTAAATAATGATAACTCCTCATCCCAGAAATTCAGTGATAACAACAACAAAGATGAGGACAATAGTCCAAATGTAAATAGTGTAAATAATGATAACTCCTCATCCCAGAAATTCAGTGACAACAACAACAAAGATGAGGACAATAGTCCAAATGTAAATAGTGTAAATAATGATAACTCCTCATCCCAGAAATTCAGTGACAACAACAACAAAGATGAGGACAATAGTCCAAATGTAAATAGTGTAAATAATGATAACTCCTCATCCCAGAAATTCAGACAGAAACTTTTTCGCTTTCATCCTTTTTTCTTTCTTTTTTTTTTAGAATAATCTTTCAAAAGAATCATTTTTAAAATTTTCTATTTCAGATTAATATTCTTGCATACAAAACCTCCCAAATAAAAAAAAACTTTTTACTGAAAAACATACACAAAAGAGTATTATAAAATTTTTTTCACTTGGTAAGTTGCAGTCACGGACAATTTATCTACTGAGGGTGAAATAACTTCATTCTGTTGTTATATTTCCTTGAAAATATTTGGTTGCATATTCAAATGTCAGATTTAAGTGATTACCGATTCAGGACACCATCAAGGTAAATTGCCAATCCTAAAAGTGACTGTTGAATGTAAACGGCAATAGATCATATGCAATTGGGGAAATATGAAAAGGTCAATGGATAAAAGGCTTCATGATTTGTTCCCTCTGGCTTATTTCATAGGTATTGTCTTCTTCTATATGCTGTGCCCCTTCATGCTCTTCGTGATCATGGCTCTCCATAATTTCCTGTCCTTTGTATCCCTTAATTAATTGTCTTTTTGTTATCTCTCCTAAAACTTGTTCCACCATCCATTTACTCAATTTTTCCTCTGTCCCACTTGCCTTCAATAAATATCCAGTGAGTATCAAATTTTCCAAGCCCTCTTTTCTCATTATGTAACTTAGAAGTTTCAACTGTTTCTTGCTGATGTTAATGTTTTCTGTCTTTGGAGACAATCTTCAGAGAGATTTGATTAACAAATGGCAAAGACAGGTGTATATCTTCTTTTCTATGAGAAGCAATTATTGTTTATAATAAAAAATTAAGTTTAAGTAGATTATGATGAAGATTTGTTATTATCATGAGGGATAAGGGTCAATTTCCAAAATATCAGGAGGAAGAAAAATGTTTTTTTTTTTGGATGGGGGAAGAGCATTAAAATTGTAGCATATGAGAATTCTTCATTTTTAATAAGGGCTTTTTTATTTGTTAAATGTTTTTTTTATTATAAACCTTTTTTTAAACTTTCTGATCTGATGTTTATACAAAGTTTTCAAAGTATTACTTTCATATAAATAAGTTCATGAAACCTTCAATTTAACACTGCTTTTTAGATTCAATGTGTTCTTAAAAGAGAAAAAAAAACATTCCGGAAGAGGGACAAAAATGTTAAAACATTATTATCATGTAACAACAAAGGATTATTCACAAAAAAAATTACAGCAGTCATGTTTTGTTTGGATGCATACATCATATTAAAATTGTAAGATTTAAAGTATATGTCTAAAAAAAAAAAACAAATAAATCTCACTCACCAACACCCAAAAAAAAAAAAAAAAAAAAAATGGGGGCCACTGGCTGCAGTCAAAATTTGTTATTAATACTTTATTTATAAACGGTTCTGATAGGCAAAAGTTTATTTTTTATTTGTAACCAGAAAATGAATAGTTATCAAGTGAATTTGGGAATGAAATTCTATCGAGACCTTTCATCTATTTCACATTGAAACTTAGAGATTTACCTGATCAGGAATGCTTCTAAAAGGTTGCTTTCTTTAAATCAGTTATATTTGGCAGGCTGATGGGAACAATTTTTAAATCTATATCCAGGGTGTGACAGAAATAGCTCACATATAACTCTCAGAAATACCGCCTACATAATGGTGAGACATTAGCTAGATGAAGACACCATTGCTACTAATGTCTTACCATTAAGTGGGAGGTACTTCTGCAACACCCTCAAATTTCAGGGATTTCTGGGTAAACCACCTTGTAATTTCCCTCTA